AGGGGGTTGGGGGGCGCGGGGGCCCGCGGAGGGGGCCCGGCGGCGCGGTCACGGCCCCGGTGCGCCAGCAGGTCTGCGAGGAGCAGAAGTGCGAGGAGGAGGTCTTCCCGCTGGCCATGAACTACCTGGACCGCTTCCTGTCTCTGGAGCCGGTGAAAAAGAGCCGCCTGCAGCTGCTGGGGGCCACCTGCATGTTCGTCGCCTCGAAGATGAAGGAGACCATCCCCCTGACGGCCGAGAAGCTGTGCATCTACACTGACAACTCCATCCGGCCCGACGAGCTGCTGGTAACCCACTGCCCACCGACGCGCCCTCGGCCAAAGGACCCCCGGGTGGGGGAGGGGCAGGGGGCCCCGGCCGGTCGTCCACAGACCCTGTGCCCCGAGGGGAGGCCATATTGCTAGCACCCCTCCCGTGGACCCAGCGAGACTCAACCCCCTACTCCGGGCCGCCCCACCTCACACTTTCGCTCCGACTCCCACCGCCTCTGCGCCCCCCAGCGCGCCAAAAAGTGGGCGGCGCGCGCCCTCTAGCGGCGGCGGCGCGCGCTAACGACAAGGCCTCGCGTGCGTTCCAAGTGCGGGAGTCTTTTTTGTCACCACTTAAGAAGTGTCCTCTTAATAACGAACAGGATTCTTTTCGAGCGGCACCTTCGCTCTTTTGTTCCAGGATCGCATGCTGTCCCCCACTTCCTGGACCCCAACATTCCCATCCCTTCTCTCCAGGCCCCTCTCCCACTCTGCCCTGCCACCAAGGAGCCGCCCCTGCACCTCTTTATGCTTGTTCACCCCATTTCCCCAGCAAATGGAACTGCTGCTGGTGAACAAACTCAAGTGGAACCTGGCTGCCATGACCCCGCACGATTTCATCGAACACTTCCTCTCTAAGATGCCGGTGGCCGAGGAGAACAAGCAGATCATACGCAAACACGCGCAGACCTTCGTTGCCCTCTGTGCCACAGGTAGGGCACAGGGCCCTGCTGGCCCGGCCTCCCCGGGTGCCCCTGGCAGAGCTGCTTGCCCTCTGCCTCAGTTTCCCCATCCGAGCCAATGGCCCCCGGAGCTCTCTCTGCCGGTTCTGATGAGCAGAGGGCCTGGGCTGTTGGCCGGGCTGATGGAGGAGGGTGCTGTCCTCCTGGGGGTCCATAGGCTGGCCTGCCAAGTCCACTTCCGGGGCTTTGCTCCCCACCCCCACCCCAGGCCTTTCCCCTGTCCTCAAGGAGCCTGCGCTTTGGGGCCCCCTGCTGGCCTCTCCCTGGCTGGGCCACCTGCCAGGGGCGCCTACAGGGGCGGGGAGTGCAGGCCTGCAGTGCCTGCACCACGTGCTCAGGCCGCCAGCTTCAGCCTCAGCCCTCCTGCGGGGGCGGCCACCAGAGCAGCCCAGCTGCCTGAGGCCCCGCCAGGGGCGCCTCTGCTGAGCCCTGGGAGGGGCTTCGGAGCAGCCTGCTGCTGTGGCTGGCAGCGGAGGCATCCCTCCCTCCCCCACCCCCCCCAGCACAGCTCTGGATGGTCCCTGGAGGCCGCTCCTTGGCCTTGCCCCAGCCCCAGCCCTGGGCAGCCAGCCTTCCAAACCCCAGTGTACACACGCACACACACGTGCACGTGCACACTCACATACACACACACACACCCCCCTAGCGATGCCTCCAGCCTCCCCCAGCCCTCCCCAACCAGGCCCTTCCCTCGCCCGCTCTGATCACGCGAGCTGGGCCCCTCACCTGGATGGCCCCCTCACCTGGGCCCCTCACCGGGACGCATGCCCTCGACTGCCCAGCTCCGCCCCGTCAGGCCTCAGCCATCACAGCTGTTCGGGGCTCACTCCGGGAAACCTGAGGGCCACCTCATCAAAGGGGGACGTTGGTGTCTTGCAACCTGGCATCTTGCTGAACCCTGCTGACCTGGGCGCTTTGGCGGCTGGTATTTCTGGGTTAGGCACGAGCTGGAAAGAGCCCGCTGCCCTCCCTACCCTCCAAGTGCTTCCAAGTGAGGCGCGAGGGAAAGATGGGGGAGCCGAAACCGGTGTGGGCCCGGATGGGTCTGGGGGTGGCGCCCCTCTCCAGGCATTCCAGCTCTAGCCCTTGGGCGGGGGTGGGCAGCCTCCCTGCAGTCCCCTCAGCCTCAGGGGTCAGCCCCGGCCATGGGCAGGGAAGCTTTCTCTGGCTGAGGCGCCTCCAAGCAGAGACGCCTCTGGAGACTTCTAGGCAGCCTTTTATGGAGCTGAACGTGGTTTGGAGACACGACAGTGTTTCCTGGAGATAATGCAAGGAGTGGTTCTTACACACCCTCCCCGCAGGATAGCTGCGGTGGCCTGGAGCTCCCCCTCTCCCAGAACCCCAGGGAGAGTGGGGTGCACGGTGAGGGAGCGAGCCTGGTGCAGAGGCTGTGAGCACTGGGCACGCTTGGGGCAACCCAGTTTTCACATACATCAACTCCAGGGGGGCCCTGTGTGGGGCCTCAGACCGGAGTTGGGGAGCAGCGCTGCCCTCCAGGTCCCCAGAAGACGCTCCAAGTCCTGGTCCTGCCCGTGCCCGCACCGCGCGGACATAACTCAGGTGCAGCCGTGCCCTTGGTCGCAAGCAGACCTCTCTCCAGACGAGAGAGACGTAATTGAAGCGCATAAACCGGCTGTGTGAGGTGGGCACGTGAGCAGAGGTCCCAGAAGTTTCCTTGGCCCTCATATGGCAAAGATCCCACTGAAGGGTGCTGTGAAGGGGCTCCGGTTCCCCTGCGCCCCAAGGCCGGGCTTCCTGAGGGCCTGCTGTGTGCACATGTCACCCACACGGCAGAGCTGCTGGTACCACAGCCGGTCACGAGGTCCGAAGATGCGCGCCTCGGAGCTCAGTGAAGGGTCTCTGTGAGGGTCACAGGGTCGGCAATGTCACAGCTCCAACGTGTCCCACTGGGCTCTTTACAGCTGGGCAGTGAACAGGCACAAGTATTGGAGCTTCTGGATTGCTCCTTATCCCAACATAAGCCCCCCACCGCACACACACCTCGGTAGGGGGTGGGCTTCAGAAGCGAGCCCCGCCGATTATCTGTCTCTACTTGGGGAGGGGGGGGTCTGGAGTCCTGCTCTGCAGACTTGGTGCTCTGGCTGCAGCGCCCCCGTAAGCAGCCCCCACTGGCTGGGTGCAAAGCTGTTCATTCAAGGCCCCGGGTCCCAGGCTGGGTGGGCCTGCTCCCATTTAAAGGGTGAGAGGTGGTGAGCCTTGTTGGGCTCAGAAGCTGCCTTTCTCCCCAGCCCCCAGGCTGGTGCCTGTTCCCTTTAACGAGGCCACTGGGATGAAGTCTCAGATGGGCTGTGCGCCCCGGTCCCCTCCCGTTCAGCTCGCCCGAGCCCCCTACTCCTGGGCATGATGGTGGGAGGTGAGGTGATGGGGTCAATGAAGACGCCACGCTCAGCCCTTGTGGGTACCCAGCTCCAGGCTGAGGACCCCCTCCAGGTTCCCCATGAAGATGCTGAAATCCGGGGCTTCCCCCCCCCAATTCCTCACAAAGACAGCCCGTGGGGGCCACCATTGCCATTTAGTGACCTTAGGCATCTCTCCTTTCCACAAGCTGTGCAGGGCCCTGCGGCTCACCCTCAGGAAAGGCTGAGGGTCCCACCCCTAGCTCAAGGTGGGAGGGGGGCGGGCATCAAGCAAGGGGACACGCCCGCCCCTCACTAAGTGGACAGTTCCCTGCGGTTTTGGGGAGTGTGTGCTGCCACCTGGTGGATGTAGCGATGAAGCAACACCTGCCCCTGGGGTGAGTCACAGATTGCGCCCCGCCCCCGCCCCATGGGAAGTGGCAGATGGGGCCTGCAGGGCAAGTCCTCGCAGCCGCGCAGGCATTTTGTGGGAAAGCTACGTAAGGCTTAATGCTAAAAGGACAAGTGTGACGTTCCCTCTGCAGAGGCCTCGCGCTTGCCGGCCGTCCCCTCGGTCGACAGGCTCTGGCCTGCCCAGGCCGCGGGGACCCTGGGGAGCACCCCACCCCTGCTCATGGCCACCTTGCGTCCCTCTCTGCCGCAGATGTGAAGTTCATCTCCAACCCGCCGTCCATGGTGGCCGCAGGGAGCGTGGTGGCTGCAGTGCAAGGCCTGCACCTGGGGAGTTCCAGCAGCTTCCTGTCCTACCACCGCCTCACGCGATTCCTCTCCAAAGTGATTAAGTGTGACCCGGTAGGTGACCGCGTGCACCCTGCTGTCAGGGGGGCCTGCCTGGCCCTGGGCACCGGAAGCATCCACAGGGTCTGTGGCGTTGAAGCTGCAGTGCCCAAGGCCCCCAAAGATGACCATGTGTGGGGCCACCTGGGGGATGGGCAGGGGCCTGAGTTCAGAGGCACAGGACCTCAGTCGCCCACCTCTCCCGAGGGTCCTCAGCCCCCCTGGCACTCCTGGCAACCATAAAGCTCCCCCGTGAGCCCTCTAGGAAGCGGCGCCACGATGCGGCCCCACAGTGGTCCGGGGGGTGGTGTGTGGAGCCGGGGCCCTGGGGAGCTTTGTCTGGGCCACAGTGTGGATGACCGATAGATGCTTTCATTGTGGCTCTGAGAGACTGCTGCCGTGAAAGCCAGTCAATTGTGTCTTCTTAAAAATGCCATTGTTTTAGATTGTAGATTCCCAACTATTTTTCTTTCCTTAAAGAAAGAATTAAAATAACAATTACTGGGGTCTGTGGCATCTACAAATTAGACCGAGTGGCCGGTGGGGTCACTGTCTGCCCCCGGGAAGGAGTGACCGCCTTGACCCCAGTCCCAGTCTGCCCTCTGGCAGCCCACCCTGAAGCATTCGGGGGGCTCCGCAGACCCCAGCCAGGTGCCACCTCACCCATACGACTGAGGAAAGGTAGGGCTTGAGACAGACACCTGCTTGTCCTCTGGCCAGCAGTGCTCGGCTGCCGGCCGGTGTGTCCCCCCAGAAGCATCCTCGCCCAGAGACGTGGGCAGCCCCTGGAAGGGGCGTCCCCTCTGCCTCTAGTGCTCCCATCACTCCTCTCGGGCGGCCACCGAGAGAGGACCAACCACCTCACCAGAAAGGCCAGCACCAGAATGCCGTCACAGACGCAGGCAGGAAGTGACCGCGCGCCCCTCTGTGCGTAGAGGCCTTTTCGTTAGATCTGCAACAAAATGCCTCACAGCTGACGGACGGGGAGAAACCGGTTGAAGCTGAAATTTGTTAGTCTGGATACCCGGTGACAAACGTCGCTCAGTTCAGACACAGAAGGCCCTCGGTGGCAGGGGCCCAGGAGGTCTGCCCTTTTCCAGGGCTGGGGCATGAGCGCAGGTGGCCAAGGGGGGCCCTTCCTTGCACCCCTCTGCTCTCTGCCCCAGCACGCGCCCCCAACCCCAAGTTAGCAGGGGCAGGGAAACCATCGCCCCAAGAGCTGCCGGGTTGGGGGGTGCGAGCCGTCGGGCTGCAGGAACGGAGCTGAGGCTGCAGTGGGTGCTGGGCGTGAGGCCAGGCCGGCACCGGCCATGGGGAGTCTGCTCCCCAGCAGACCTGGGCCTCCGTTCCGCATCACTGAAATGGGGTGGCTCGCGCCTCCCCTGCCTTCCGAGCTGCCGCGCTGACTGCTGCGGGCGGGGAGCTCTCCGTGTAGAGGCCGGAAGCTCTGGAACTGGATGATCCCCGGGGGTCACTCAGAAGCCCTCTGGCCTGGGTCCACGCTTGGGCAACAGAGCCCCACTTCCGGCCCCACCGGTTGGGGTTCCAGAAGCACCTTCCCTGGGGCAGAAGCGGCTGAACCCTTTCCTACTGGGTTCAAGAAAAGAACCCCAAGTATGGCATCCTGGGAGCTAAGACAGGTGGCCCCAATGAAGCCAGCCTCTAGCCAGGCCCCGGGGGCTAAGGCCACGGGGCTGCGAACGGCGCCCACCCCAAGCCGCTGGGAGGTTTGTCACTGGTGAGAACAGGAGCAGCCCCTGGGCTCGGGATCCCTCCTCCTCCCCGCTGACAATGTGAGGTGCTGACAGAGAGGAAGTGGGGTGCGGGCAGGCACCGCAAGGCCCGCGCACAGCCCAGGACGCAGGCCAGACGAGAGGACGAGGGGGTGAAGGGTCCGGTCCCATTGGGCCACCCGAAATTCATTCTCAGTCACGCACAGCCTACCGCTTTTGCCGGCCATGGCAGAGGTTAAGTCCAAAGAACAGGCTCAGAGGGCAGCGGCGAGGCTGGCGTGGCCAGTGGGACTCGGGCCGGAGATCGGGGCCCTGCTGGGGACTCAGGGACGGGCAGGGGAGGGGAGGGGAGGTGGGCGCATCTGCAGTCACAGCCCTGCGCGCTTCAGTCCTCAGCGGGGCCATCGCTGCCCAGATGGCGTGTGGTCTCCTCAGGTCAGGGGAGGCTGGTGGCCAAACGCAGCCCGTGCCACTCTGTCCTGGGGTTCGGAGCAGGTCTGGGAGGGGCGCAGCTCGAGCCTGGCCTCCCCCTGACAGCCCGTCTCCCTGCCCCGTCTGGCCAGGACTGCCTCCGGGCCTGCCAGGAGCAGATCGAAGCCCTGCTGGAGTCCAGCCTGCGCCAGGCCCAGCAGCAGAGCCTGGACCCCAAGGCCGCGGAGGAGGAGGAGGAGGAGGAGGAGGAGGCCGACCTGGCCTGCACGCCCACTGACGTGCGGGACGTGAACATCTGAGGGCGCCCGCGGCGACGAGGGGCCAGCCCAGGGGCCCCGACTCAGCCACTCCTCTGCAGGACCCCGAAGGGGAAACTTCTCGCTTTTCCTTTGCTCTTTCTCCCTCTCTCTGACTTAAGCAACAGAAAAAAAGTACCCCAAGACTATCTTTAAAAAAGAGAGAGGAAAAAGAATAGTATTTGCATAACCCAAACCTGGGGGAGGGGGGGGCTGTGCCACAAAAGTAGGATTTCTACCCCATAATTAACTAGTTTTTGTATTAACGTGTTTGCGTCTCTGTGTTGTAAGGATAGGCATTAACACAAGGAAGGAGTCTGCAGGGGAGGGTTAAAGTTCATTCTTTATGTGTTTAAAGGAAAAAAAGAAAAAAAGAAAAAAAAGCTTAAAAACATCCTTAAAAAAAAAAAATAGAAAAGTTCCACAAACCATTTTTAAAGTAGAAGAGGGTTTTTAGGTAGAAAAACGTATTCTTGTGCTTTTCCCGAGGGGCACAGCTTTAAGGCGGTTCTAGGCGTCCTGTACCTTGCTTGCTCATGCATGTAGTCACTTTATAAGTCGTTTGTGCGTGTTTATTTTATTTCGTAGGTCGGTGTGTAACCTCTTCGCCTTGTCGACGGCTGATGTAACCTGTCGGTTAGAGTAGCGAGCAGTTCAGCATCACTTAGCGCTAATCCTTTCTGCCTGTGGACCCAGCTCCTGCGCGGGTGTCTGGCGCCGGCCACCTGAGCAGCGGCAAAGCCAACTCTCTGACCCCTTGCGAGCGCTACTATAAAGAAAAGCCGCGATGGCGACGTAATAGATTCTATTTTTATAATCTTCATATTTTTGTAGTTACCCGTTTAGGAGATGCTGGGTGTTCACGCAACAGACCTGCAGCCTGCTCACATCCGGGTGAAAACCACAACTCTGTCTGTCTGTCTGTCTGTTTCCGTCTCGAGATTCTAAAACCATTCCATTTCAAAGCACTTTCGGTCCAGTAGTTAGAGGAGGGGTCTCGTCTGTGTTGCGTGTGGAGTGGGCAACGGTTTTAGTGGAATGGTTTGGGATATTCACGTACTTGCGTGCAGACAGGATGGCAAGGCCAGTGCATGTCGCTACGGTGTTAGCGGAAGGGGGCATTTTCGAAGGCCAGGTTCCAGTCCAGGAGAAGAAAGTGTGCATTCATTCTCCCATTGCCAGGATGACGTGTTCTTTTTTCTGTAGAGAAGCTGAAGTTTAGGAATCCTTTGGTGCCAACTGGTATTTGAAGGTAGGGGCCTTAAAAGGTTTACCTAGAGAACGTGTAGCTTCAGGGTTAGGAAGGTTTTAAACACTAAAATATATAATTTATAGTTAAGGCTAAAAAAGACTATTTATTACAGAGGATGTTCGTAAGGCCAGTATGATTTATAAAGTAATGCAATCTCCTCGATGTCCACACACACACACACACACACGCGTACACACAACGTGCTGCCTCTGCTGCAGGGTTAACGCAGTTTATATAAAGTTAGGTCCTTTTATAGGAGAGGGAAAAGAATCCCCAGGGGTAAAAAAAAAAAAAAACACACAAAGACATTGATTCGGCCTGTTTGGCGTGTCCCAAAGTGATCCAATCGGGGAGGCATCAGAACTGGAAAATTAGGGTGCTTGAATCAAGTTCATTTCCAGAATACTCTGATCCCCTGCCCCCCCGCCTTTAAAAAAAAATGTTAGTGACCAATAGACGATTTGCACATCTTGGCCATGGACCTTGTGATCACGCTGTAGGGAGTATAGGAAGGAGGGGGCGAGGACGCCAGGCTGGTGCTGGGAGAGGAGGTGGGGCAGGAAGTGTGCGGAGGGGAGGCGGGCGGGGACCCCAGAGGGACAGGCTGCGGCTCCGCTTATTCGCTGCTACCGACGACGACGTCCCGGCCCAGTCTGGAAACCTTCGCATCGCATCTCCGTGTCTTTCACATTGTTTTGCTGCTATCGGAGAATCAGTTTTTTTTTTTTGTTTTACAATGTCATATACTGCCATGTTATGTTCTCGTTTTAATTTTCTCGTAGAAAAAAATGTATTACGGATGCCCTTTTTTTTTTTTGTAGATTTTTTTTTTTTATGTGATCAGTTTTGACTTAATGTGATTACTGCTCTATTCCAAAAAGGTTCCTGTCCCATGATACCTCATGCTTCACTCAGCCACGTGCAGACTAGGCCGTCCGGCTCTGCCTGGCCCACGGCCTCCCGCTCCGGCAGACACACGCGGACGAGATCCCAGAGAGGCCTGGTGGGGACGGGCTCCGGGCCGCGTGCGGGCGGCCACCCCGGCGTCTCTGAGGACCAGCCTGTGTCCGTCCCCCCCCGCGCCTGTTATGCTGGACCACCCTCTGACCACCCTCTGACCACCCTCTGACCCGGCATCCACCACCCTAGTGTTTTCACAGCTGTACTGTTCTTTGCGTGTAGCTATGAACGTTGCATTATTATTATTATTATTATTATTGTTATTATTGTAACAGGTATGTCTTAGCGTGCCACTGTGGTGCTGTGCTATCGGTCACTCGGAATGATCGGAACGGGTTCTGGAGTCGTCAGAGTTTGGGTGCATTGACTCTAGCGTTCTATCTGTCGCCCCGTTCGTGACAGCATGATACTCATTTTAAAGAGGCTCCGGCTGCCCCTGAGGTCTGCTAACAGTGCTGTGTGCCCGAGTCCCCTAGAGTCACCTAGCACGCTGCCAAACCAAAAGGATCTGCCCCCCTGGAGGCCGCAGTGGGGGTCGCCTGTGTGCCCCGGCGCCCCACCCCGCCCAAACACTGCTTCCGCTTACCTCAACCCCTCTGGCTGCGGCGTCTGTGTCTGAACCAAAGCGGGTCCGTGAGGGGACAGTCTGTCCTAGCGGGGGTGGACACTGCTGAGAGGCCAGTGGCGGGCCCCGGGGTGCACAGCGGAGCCTGTCCTGTGACCAGCACACCTGCGAGGGTCTGGCGGGCACTCGGGTCTGTGTTTCTGGTTGCACGCCGCAGCACTTCCCAGCACAGACATGTAACTGGCACGTTTCCGGCAGAAAACAAAATACAAACGTGGAAAGTCTAGAAATAAAATTGGTAAAACCCCAGTGTGGCGTCTGCCTGTTTCCTGGGGTGCAGGGCCCAAGCTGCTGTATCCTGGACTTGGGGGGGGGCGGGGTGACAGGCAGAGTTCCCAGGCCCTCCTGGGAGGGTGCTGATGCATCCATGGCCTCTACCCACCAGATGACAGGTCTCCGGTTGTGACAAACAAAAATGTCTCTGACACCGCCCGATGTCCCCTGGTGATCCTGGAGTGAACGATGCTCTCTCTGCAAGGGATAGGGGTAAAATTGGGCCCCGAGAAACCTAAGGAAGGGATTGTCCGAGGCTCCAACACCC